GTAGCTACTAGCTAGCAAGAGCATATCGCCATATCCACTCATGGTCAGAAATGCTACTGTATTAAAATAATTCCTAATAATTCCTTAGGCTCAGTTTGGAAGGAGTATAACAGTGCAAAACCTTGTATTTTGAACTATTTTGAGTGTATTTGCACTGTATATATTTGCATTTATACTCTTTTCAAACTGAGCCTTAGGCTCCTTCTGTTTGAGATGCAACTTATTTTGGCTTAGTACAAATGCATGGAAGCACAAACCAATCGAGTATAAATTATGATTCACTTTTGCTTCAATTTTACTTTACTCTGCCTTGAGTTTTATTTTGCATTCAATTCATTTGCCTTGAGTTTTATTTAGGCTCAATTTGGAAAGATACAAATACAAATATGTAGAGTGCAAAACTTTATATTTTCTATTACATTATATGTATTTTCACTGTACATATTTGCATTTGTACTCCTTTCAAACTGAGCATTCATATTTTTGCATCAGTGCAAATGATATTGCATTATAACAAATAAATTGGATCTTTTGAGCTTTCCTGATCCGGATCCAACCATTCCACAGTTGGACAACCACTCAAAAAGAGGACCATTTTGATGGTGTCACTGTCACAATTACTCATAACACGCATATATCAGCTTACTAATACTTTGTTGCATGGCTTTCAAACCGCTGATAATCTGAATGATCGGACCGTTCAGCTTGGGAATCGTTCATTCAACGATTCCATTAACCAAGGCCAAAAACGATTCCATTTTTTGTCTCTGGCCAAAAACCGTTGAACCAGTCAATAATCTATCAACCCAGGTGGTTGAACCGTCAATCCATTCAACGATTTTTGGCCTTTTTATTTTTAATTATTTTTAGAATGAATCATCCATTCAAACCGAACAGTTGAACCATCAACCTGAAAACCAGTGGTCAGAACGGTTCAATTTAGAGGTCGTTTTTTAAAACCATGCTTTATTGACATTTGATTTAATGAGTTATTTCAAGCGTAAGTGTGCACTTTTGTTGTTCAATTGAATTCTAAATCCCCACCTTGTTTTCGTATAATCAAGTGCTACCCGACACCAATTATTTACTGGCAAGAATAGCCCCCCCTCATGTGGCTTTGTTTGTGTATTATGTCTAAGAGTGCTTTTTTTGTTTTTTCAATTCCCTTGTGTGTTGGTGTGTGTTGTCTTTTGCTCTTTGTTTCTAGGGCTTAGTAAACTGGAGGAATCTTGAAGTTCACAATCTCAAGTAGATGGTGCTTATTATGATTGATTTTGCAATTGAAATAAGGCTGGCCCCATCTTATTCATGGATTTGTAACTTCTCATCAACTTCAGCCATAGAAAAAAGCCAAAAACCAAGTTGTATCGAAATACTAAAAACAAGTTTAAGCAAATTTGTTTCTAGGGTGCATGACTACTTGGAACTCTCTTCTGGCCTTACATGCTCCATAGAAAAAGGCATAATAGCTTATCATGTAAGTCATTTAGAGGAAAGTTGGATTATAAAAATCAGAAGATTTCAAATGAAGTTAGCTAGCATTCAGAAAGACTATTCTCAGCAACAGATAGATAGACCCAAGAGATGCTTGAGTGAATTGAAAGCATGATGCTTTAGGTGATAGACTACTTTGATTGCTGATTGGGGAAGTTAAGGGCTCTGAAAATATTGTTAAAATAGATAACAACTACAACTACGTACTTAGCCTCTATATTAGAAACATGAGCTGTTTGTGTGAGGTCAGTACTTATTCACATAGAGCTGGCCATCAATGAGGAAATTTTGGGTTGGCTAATGAAGTATAATAATTAATAAAATCACTGTGTACTTAGATGCTGATGCAGAACCCCTAGTAGGGTTATATGGCCCAACCTACCGGTTCAATACATGCATGGAGCTCCATGTCCAAGAGCTGGGATCATTTCATTAAATGCCCAAGTGTAAACCAACTTAACAATATGTCCACAGATCAAACGGTTAAAAGCATTTGGTTTGTGATGGATTTTGACCTATGGTTGGCCTACATTATCGTGACTCCCAAGCTGCCATGTGTATGGCATAGAATGGTTGTTCAGTAATCCGTGCTACATAAGTATTCCCAATTACAAGACATATCTTTAAGTTTGTGACCAAATGATTTAAAAATTGCATGGATTTTGTACATGAGAAAAAAGATGGGTTCATTTGAACGTATGCACAGAATTAAAAGCATGATGTAGTAAGTCAGAGGGGGGAATTTGGGGCTGCTTAAGATAATAATTAGAAAAATGTGACCAGCTAATTGTTGGGATTTAATTGAAGCTAAGTTGTATTTTGTTAATGACTTGAGGTGGACTTGCTACATCGGAGACATAATTATTTTTCCGGTGTTAATGTTCACATAGAAAGAGGTAGGAAACTTAGATTTTAAGAGTTTGACCCATTTTTTAACTTGGGTTGCACGCATGGGTTGCAAACCCTAGGTCAAGAAACAGACAAGAAGGGTTTCAAACGAGGGCTAAATTTGGAGTTCCAAGTGGCCTCTTTGACTCAAAGATCTTCCCTATTTATTAGTTAGTACTTGATTTGTTCTCCATCTAGCAGACATGGTTGGCAAACTTAAGTAATGGGAACTAGTTTAAATTAAATATGACTACAGTTTTTAAGAAGTGAGAAACCACCATTGCTAATTTCTTAAAATTAAGCTTATTTGGCTTTACCAAAACTGAGAAATCCCATACATTGGAGTATTTCCCAAAGCCTACCAAATAAATGGAATTTGACTTTTGCCTTTTCTTTTTATGACCAAAGTACCCTTTGATCTTTTAGCCCTTTGTGTCCCATGTCTGTCATGGTTCCACATGGCAAGCTCTAGGAAGAAGACCAACCTAGCTACCAGATTCTTTGTCTTTTTCATTTGCGCATTTTATGCAACACTTGAAAGCTAATAGGTGCATTTTAGTTTCAGTCTGAAGTGGATAATGTATGACCACGAAGATCCTACTAAAGCATTCAGATGGATGACCAGCATGCCCTAACTTCACATAACCGTTGAAAGGGTCTCCCTAAAAGGGCCAAAATAAAGGAAAAGCAAGGTGCAACTTGAAATGACAGAAGGTGCAGTTTACAACAACACTAGATGCAACATAATAGCAATTTTTTTTGGGTCCATCTGTGAAAATTAAAAAAAAAAAAAAAAATCTTGTTGGGTATCTAGAAAAAGATCTAGAAAAAAAATTAAACTCTGATCTTGTTGGGCATCGATCTAGTTGGGGTGTGCATTAATGATTGGATTGGTTCTTGAAACATCAGACACATTTACAAAATTAAGGCCTAAGGGAGCTTCATCACTGTCTTCAAAATCGGATCAGATTGGATGGTCGGACCGGAAAAACCGGGAACCGGTCACCTAATCAGTTCTGTTTTCCTCCAAAATCGTTGATTTTGGTCAGCAAACCGTTAAATCAGCCGGTTACTCTTTCGAACGGTCTTGACCGTTTTTCAATTATTTAAAGTTTTTTATTTTTTTGTCAGAACGGGCTGGCCGTTCGGGTCAAACGATCGGACCGTTTGAACTGATAACCGGACCCCTGACCGGTTCGTTTTTAAAAACCATGAGCTCCATATATACCGTATAGGCCTTGTTTCGTGTCCCCAGAAGGTAAGATGCTCCCATTTACAAAACACTTTTAAATTTTCTACTCTATAGTATTTAATATATATATATATATATATATATATATGCTCATGGTGATGATTTTCCACTCCAAGCTAGAATCAATTTCATTGGATGACTTAATCAACCACATGAAGATGGGATCGCTTTTTCCAGCAAGATTGGATCATCTTATTTGAACTTTAAAAGCCAAGACACTACCCTCGATTAAATTTGCTTGATAATCCCACCAAGCTGGTCTTTTGTCAGCTACTGAAAAACAAAAATAAACAGGTCTTTTGTCTAACAGATCTCCTATATATGTAAGGATTATTTATACAGTTGAGATAGCAGAAAATATATTGTAGTATTAATTAGACCCAGATTCACTAAATTAAGTTAACCCTCAAAGGCCAAATTTATCCTCTCCCAACAACTAGGTACTATATATTTTTCTAGCACAGTAGACCTTATAAATTAAATGTCAATTAATGTAATAAGCTGTAGCTGATATGGGAGGTTGGCCCACAACGGGAGGCTGTGAACCACGTCTAAGGGTGAGATGGTTGTTTAATTACTAAGTCCTCTTCTCTTGTATGGGTGAGTGGACAGTGGTGCTGCTGTTATGGTTAATTATGATCAGACGCTTTGAGGGACCTGCATTAAGATGCAACTGTTGCACTCTGACATGTCAGGGGCAGATATGTGATGGGCAGGCAGAATGTGGAATATAAGGTGTGAGAGAAATATAATATATAGAATTGGGATTTTTTGGATCCTGAAGAGAAAATAACAAGTTTATAGAAAGTAGATTAATGGGCTTTCAGTGGAATTTGCAGGCCTTGAGAGAATCTTTTGGGATTGAATATACATTTGAACTTTAGTATCGGAAGTTGTTTCAGCCCACATTTGCTCAAAGGATAACTGAAGTAGAGATTATAAATAAAATATTACATAGAAGTCTGCTTTGTCATGGTCTGTAGAGAGAGATATCAAAATTTCATGAGATGGGCATGAGACTTTCGGTTCGAAAATCCCCAAAAACTGCTGATTTTGTAGTCTCTTGAGATCCCTCACGTTGGTTTTTAAACACCCCACGTACGGGTTCAAGAAGGGAATCATGAAGTAAGAGTTTCTCCATTGAAAACGCACGATCCCCTTGACTTGGGTTTCTTGGTAGCTGTTCACAAGTGAGAGCTTGGCTCTTAAAGCCTCTTTGTAAGCCACCGCGATCCTCGAAAAACACACGAACTCCATTACAGTCACCCTGAAAGGGCGGCCGAAGCTTCGGAAGCAGATCCCTCCTCAGGAAGCATATAATGGCTTTGAACCAAGTGAGTTGGGCTGTGAACTCAACTGGGTCCGTCTCATAAGTTCATCATATAGATTTGCTTTCACAGTCGACCCATCTGCTGTTCGACTGATTTCTAGCTAAGATTTGCCGGGAGTTTCGCTTATAATCTCTAGAAACTTCTAGCTAGCTTAGTAAAAGAAAGGCAGATTAAAGTGACGATAATACATGCATCTAGCCCTTTTCAGATTGATAAAACAAAGTATATATCCGAGTTTTATCTTGCATTTGTTCTTTTCTTTTCATCTGTGACTGTCCTGGTTTAATTCTCAGAAGAGTTTCACAGTTAGAAGTTACTAGGGGAGACGAGAGAGAGAGATGGATGAGAAGAATGACATGGAAAAGGTGGATGAAGTGATGCTGCCTGGGTTCAGATTTCATCCAACCGATGAAGAGCTCGTCGGGTTCTACTTGAGGAGGAAGATTCATCAACGACCTCTCTCCATTGAGCTCATTAAGCAGCTAGATATCTATAAATACGATCCCTGGGATCTTCCTAGTAAGATAATCCAAAACCATGCATGCCTCACTACTTTTTCATGAGTACTTAATTAATTAGTTGGGTGCAGTGGAAAGTGGGAACTAGCTAGCTAGTTTTAAACTTTGCTTTCTGCCCATCTCTCCTCTCTTTGGATCGATACTACTGGTTTTAGGGTTGTCTTAGTTTCTGTTCATGATAAGCCTAACTAACTAGCTTCTTGTTTAATTAGCTGTGTAAAGCACCACAAGTTGCACTATGATCGATCTCTCCCACTTAGCGCTATCTAGATCTGTGCTTTTGTAGGGTTTTAGTTTGTTCCATAGTATATATTTCTATTTCCGTAATGCACGGTTATGTATGTCTTCAACTTTGTGAGTAACATTTTATTGTTTGTTATTCTCATTTTTGCAAGAAGAGTTGGCAACCACGGGAGAAAAAGAATGGTATTTCTACTGTCCAAGGGATCGTAAGTACAGGAACAGTGCAAGGCCTAACCGAGTGACAGGTGCTGGGTTTTGGAAAGCAACCGGAACCGATCGCCCCATTTATTCCTCAGAAGGAACCAAGTGCATTGGTCTGAAGAAATCCCTTGTGTTCTACAAGGGAAGAGCTGCCAAAGGGATCAAAACTGACTGGATGATGCATGAGTTTCGGCTTCCATCTCTCTCCGACTCGGCCTCATCCAAGAGGCCTATGGATAAGGATCTTCCTGCCAATGTAAGCTTAGCTTAATTTGTATAATCTTCTAATAGCTACCGCTGCTTTGATATTTCTCTAACTCATTTTACTTATTGGATGATATATGGATATGTTTAGATTAATTATACTGATTAGTTTTTCTCTTCTCCGGAGTGTAGGATTCATGGGCAATTTGCAGGATCTTCAAGAAAGCCAACTCCATGGCCCAGAGAGCTCTCTCTCACTCTTGGGTCTCTCCATTACCTGAACCCACCGGATCTGACATACTCAGTAGTCAAGGTGCACACTGCACTCAGTTCAGTCCAGAGAATATATCTTGCACAACCGAAGCTGGATCTGGCCTTCAGTTTGGTTGTAATAATGACCTGCAGCAATGCTCAACTACCTGCAGTTTCCCAACTTTAGATGCTCCCTCGTATAGATCCAGTAACCACCCTTTTTGTAAAACATCCTTACCTCCCATTTCAAATGGACAGCTTCCTGCAGGCTTCATGTTCTCACCAGTTGAGTTGGCAGGAGCTGGCAAGAGTACAGTTGATGTTGCTTCCATGCTTTTAAATCTATCACCTGCAATAATGGGGGATGCCGCCGGTAAAGTCTCAGAGCATATAGATTTCGGTGGAGCACAACAGCAGTGCGAGGGCTTCTCAATCACCTTACCACAGGAAGAGATGCAAGGGAACATGGGTGCAGTAGGTGTAGAAGAGACATGCTTATTGAGGAAGAACTCATCGTCAAATATCTCCCAGGTTAATAATAATAACAGCAACAACCAGTGGGGAACTGTCCGAAGCGTTGGGTTTCCCTTCAGTTTGCCTTCAAACATGTCTGAAGCATGGAAGCTCAATTTTCCATATTGGGATTCTCCTCCCTGTCCTAGTGAGATGTCCACTGCTAGTTATTCCATAAACAAGTGTTACACTTGATCATCATTCAACAAACTGTCACGCATACATGACTAAAAAGTCTAAAAATACCTACCTATGTTCCAGTTTTGAATGAGCAGTTTGAAGTTCATCTGAGAGAATATTTTCTGTTTACTATTGCTGTACAGTCTTTCTTTATTAATCCAAGTAGACAGATTGGCTATATTTGATCTAGATCTTCTTTTAGGTCTTTTAATTTTAAGGTTGTGGGGCTTAATAATATAGACCAAGTATGGAAATTAAATTGAAACTTATCATTTTCTCCCAGAGGTTCCAAACACTCCATTAGTTGACAAAAAAAAAAGGATCGTAATACAAATTAAACCACACATTTTATTTACTGCACTCGGTGCTTTTTCAAACAGTGAGTTACATTCAGGGGGATTGGGATGTGCTGTTTTCAAAATATCGTAACATATCGGTACATATTATATGATACGTATTGATACATACATGATGTAGCACATAGCGATACGCATCGACTTTTGAATTCATTAAACCACTAAATATTGAGATATAGGTAGGAAGAAAGAATATTGAGATTTGAGGACATTATTTAATGGTTAATGCTTATTCTAGAGATAGCCTGGTTCAAATCTTGAAGCATGAATCAGGGTGCACACGTGAGACCCATTGACATCTGTCCAGGTGATCACCAAATCAGGTTTCTCGATTTGATGATCAAACACCGGTTGATCATCAATTCTACCAAATTCGAGGTACATGTACATGTATGATGCAGAGCCAAATTTGAGAAAATGCAATTTTCGAAAACCTTTATATATTAATTTCTATATGAGATTATATTTTTCATGTTTGTGGGGTTGTTTAAGTTAGGTTTTCTATGACACTGGTAATTGTGTAATTTCTATTTTTCTTAGTTGTTTTCGTAAGAGATTACAATAGTATAATATAAAGATAATATATGTTATTTGCATAAATCCCATGTATTTGCATATGTAGCCGTGCATATATACACGTGTTTTTGAACTACATGACCTTTTTGGTGAACTACATTAATTGATGAAGTGGCAAATCTTGCTTTTTCAAAAATAGAAAAAAAAAAAAAAGTGATAAAACCTAGAAGTCTTTTTTCTGAAAGTTAGGGTATTTTGGCCACTAGCTTATATATTTTGCCAATAATATTGAATGTAACATTAAAATAAATAAATAAATAACCAATATTATAAATATAAAGGTCATTTAATAGAGCACCCCTATAATTTGATAGATTTACTTAAACTTATCCTTTAGTTTTCATTTTACTGAAACACTCCTTATAGCTTGCAACCTATTTACTTAATTGACTTTTCACTAAGAAATGTTTGTTTTGCTATCTCAAGATCATCTAAACTAAGTGGAAAATGTTCTGAGGAAATGGGCCAATGATTGTTTAGTTCAAAATTACCCCTAACATAACAAATTTGACCAAATAGAGCCAAATAGAGTGGTTGTCCATATCTTATGAGGGATAAAAATGGTATCTTCTTTTTATTTTCTTTTTATTAAATTTATTCAAATGGACAGCAAGGTCAAAACTGTTATTCTCCACTGCCATCTAATGAAATGTCAATTAAGTAAATCAATTGCAAATTATATGGGGTGTTTTAGTAAAATACAATGTTTTAGTAAATTACCCTAAATGTAAAAACAGGACTAAGAATTTTGTTTCAGCTCTTACATCAGAAATGACTAAAATGTCTATAACTTAAAAATTAAAACCATGGAAGGTAATGATGGAAGATTGGAAAGTAATTGGACGCTTAAGCTTAGACTATGTTTGGAGTGAAGGAAAAGGTAGGAAAGAGTCTAGATCTCCTGCCCACGAGAATTCTGCCCACATTTATTGCAGCCACACATGGAGAACATCTTATCCTCTGCATAGTATTATGCAGGGGGAGATGTTCCCAATTCATGAGGGGTAGTGTATTGTGGATAGTAGACCTGTTCATGGGTCGGGTAGCCCGATGGCCCGGTCTGACCTGGCCCGGCCCGGCTTGCACCCCGGTCGGGCTTGGTCATGTAATTAGGCTCGCGGGCCTAACCTCAGACCTAACACAGTAAGCCTGACTGTATTTCGGGTCGGGCTCGGGATTTGTCAAAAAAGCCCGACCCGGCCCGGCTCGACTGAACATTATATATTTATAAAATATATAATATGTATTTTATATATTATATAAAATATATAAATAATATAATATTTATAATTTAATATATACACTTTTTTATTCTTTTCTTTATAATCTCTCTCTCTCTCTCTCTCTCTCTCTATATATATATATATATATTAGCCGCTTCAACAATGGTAACAATATGGGCTAAATTTTGGGCTCGGGCCCAAACCCGGTCTTCGGGCTTTTTATGAGGGTCGGGCTTGGGCCCAAGTTGTAGGCCCGATGGTCGGGCTGGGCTCAGGCTCAGGCTCGGGCCTTAGAAAAATCTGTTAATACAGAGTGAAAACCTGGCCTAGCCTGGCCCATGAACAGGTCTAGTGGGTAGGAGATCCAGAATCGGTAGGAAAACCTATAAAGGTTTCCCTGCCTTTCCCTTCAACCAAACACAACATTAAGAACCAGTTTGAATGTTTGATTAATATTAATATATTATTTCTCTTATAGCATATCTTATGGGTACCCAATTGTTGGATTCGAATCACATGATTTCAAAGAAATCGATCGTCTTTTTCGTAACTCAGATCCATGTGAGAATTAGTTATATATTACATTTAAGGCAGAAGGACATCAAGTCAAGATGGCCGAGTTGGTCTAAGGCGCCAGTTTCAGGTACTGGTCCGAAAGGGCATGGGTTCGAATCCCATTCTTGACAGAATGGAATCCATCCTTTTCTTTTACTCGATTTGTAAGTGGATGAGCTCTCTGTTATTATGAAACAATTGCGTCCGACATAACAACCCACAGCAAATGGAAGAATTCCTCTTTGAGAAACACTCACATGATAAACTGGTTGAACATTTGGAAAATGATAGAGAAGGCTGTTCAGTGAGGCGTGAGCTATTAGACTTTGATTACTAAAGAAAAAAAAAATAACAAATTTAAAAAGAGATCTGTTACTAGGATCTCCTTCTGGCTTCTGCTGCATTAGGTGATGAAGAGCATCTGTAAACTCTATTAATAATGAAGCAATTAAGAAGGTTAAAAGTGTGGTTGTGAAGGATATTCTGAGATAGCTTACTTGTAATTTTGTTCATTTTCGTTTGTACTTTAATTTTAGTAGTTCACCTGAAAGCCCAAATCCTGGTATTAAACAGTCAAATGAACCTATCCCCTTCTCTGGTCCAACGTAACCCAATAATTTCTTTTCTTTGTAAATCAACCCGATGGATTCAAACTGGGGTTTATGCTAATCAGTTTCTCTGATCCAACTTTGAGTTAGGCAAGTTTGATTAAAAGAAAAATGAGAGCATAGCAATCTTAAAGCAAAAGCAAACGCTTTGGCAATTGAAGACCGAAAACACTCAGATAGTTTTCATGCAATATACGTAGGTGTTTGGCATCCGGGCTGGGAATACATTGTATATGTCCGAGTTGTGGTGCTTATTTTTTGTTTGAAAAAACGATGCCACTAGGTAGGACGTTTTCCCAAAAAAAAACAGCACTGTCTATCAGTGCTTCATATCCATTTTCAGCACTGATACTCATTATCTAATGCTTCTATTGTATATGTCATCTTACATCCAACGGTGTAGGAAAATCTCATGTTCATCATACGATTTTAATGGTATATTAGTATATTCCAAAAAAAAAAGAAAATCAGAAAATTATGACAAAAATGACAAAAAAATTAAAAAAATACAAATAATTAACTCATAAAATTTCCAAATATATGCATAAAACTAAAATAATGCATAAATAGTAACTTGCATAAATTAATAAAATTGTAATAAAACTGGAACATCTTTTTGTGCCTGACAAATTAAACTATTCCAAACCACTGGCCCATTGTATTGAGCAAACTGTAGGTCAGTAGCCTCAACATTCAACTATTCGTTCTTTGGCACCCAGAATCCCAGAGGTTTATTCCATTAATCATCAGGGGGGGAAGGTGGTACAAGGTCTCCATCTAAAAATATCTGCTGAGACATTGAAATTTGAAAGGGACTGAGGGAGAAGGAACCCAGGAGGGCTTTATTATCAGTCAAGTAAAAACACAAGGTCCAATATATAGCATAACAGAAACTCAGGTGCCGATTAAGTAAAAAAACTCAGGTGAATATCCTCGACATGATAGATGGTTATTGTCAATGGATTAACTACCAGAACAGAAACAACTACTAATAGATCCGATGATTCATAAGAAAAAAAATATAACGACACACAAATATTAAGTTTTAAAGATTCATAAAATAAATTGAATACAAATGATCTGTAGCGGTTTCGAAGAAAAGACAAATGGTCTGAAAACACCAGCCTGACCTCCGGTGGCTGAAAACGAACAAATCTGGCCTCCAGCGGCTTAAAACGAAGAAGTCAAGCCTCTGGCGATGAGATCAATGTCTGTTTCCAACTAAGAGAGTAATAGCGGTGGGAAGAGAATAACCCATGTTAGGGTTTGTTTAATAGGGGAGAAACAATTTTTATGATTAATTGCAATGCACCATATCAATTCAAGTTTACACCATGTCCGTGACAGTAACGGGCTATAATTTTGAAAAACGTTATATTAAAATGGAACCAAACAGTCATCCGTTGTTTTCATCAGCACCGCTTTATAGCGCCATTTTCTCATCATGCCAAACACAACCACCTAAATGGTGGACTCAACTCTCAAGAGTGTATTAGCTAATGCCGCGAGTTGAGCCCAATCTCAAATATACAAGTTATAATCCAGCATAGATTGGTATAGTTTAGGCTGAGAACGGCTTAAGTTACAAGCTGGGGTAGCGGGAAGCCCTAGTTGGTGGTCTGTGCAATGGGTTTTGAAACTCTTCTCTTGTTAGGCAAATGGCTACGCAATGGTGGTAGGGCCGGCCACAAGCGGGCAGCGCTCTCACAAATCTCTGTCACAACCAGCCAAAGCTGGTATGTGAGTCCGGCTTCCATCAGGGCAAAGCCCATTGGAATAAAGGGGGGTCTTTTTTTGGATTTTAAGAGGGGGAAAGTTGGTCAATGGGATTTTGATTCCCATTGATCAAGAATTATTTATTCTTTTTTCAGATTTATGTGGGGGTCAGGAAAAGTTTATTTTCTTAGGTATTCATCTCCTGAGGGTAAATAATTTTTCAAGGGAGAAAGTTGTCAGCACTTGAATGAGACAAGAATGTCGTTTTTAATAATGGAGTTTTATGACTAAAATGGTCATTGCTTTATTTATCTGAGAAATAAAAGAACATGAATAAATGCACTTATTCGAATAAGCGTTTCCTAAGAGAAACTTACCTAAATAATTACATTTAACCGGATAAATAATTTACCAAAAAGTAAACAGTGCTACATAAGCCTGGGGTACATCCCCACAAATCACAAAAACAAATAAAATTTAAATCCCAAGGGAGAGAATAAAAGTCAAGGGAAACAAAACCATCTGCGCCTGTGCGCCATATTAGCAATCTAATCTACCGCCTGATTGGCTTCCCAAAACACATGCCTGTAGTTTACTCCACTGATCAGCTTCTCCTTCAAATGCAAGCAATCCGACACAATGCTCTTTAGATTTCAAGGCGGGGTAGTCTGGCCTTTGAGATATGATATGAGAAGCTTTGAATCCCCTTCGATAGTGATAAATTGCACACCAAGTTGTGAGCTTCCCATGCCGCCCAAGCTTCAGCTGCATTAATAGAAGAGGTGCCTAGAAAATATCCTTTGTAATCCAAAGATCTTTCCTAAATGCTATCTTGCAATAGTCACCATGGAACAATTTTCATTATTAGAGCAAGAAGCATCAAAATTAATCTTTATAGACCCAAGATTAGGGGAGCCATGATATGTATTTCCACTTTCTTTGTTAAAAAGTTCTAGGGTTTTCAACAAGGTCCCTGAATTCCATGAAGGCTTTAGAAACTCTTTCTTTTCTTTTTTTTTGTGAAAATCTTTAGAAACTCTTTCAACAATTATATGAGGGGGGTCTCCACATTATACAAAAAAAAAAAAAAAAAAAAAAACAAATTTGATTCATACGCTTCCAAATATGCCAACACATTTCTCTTCTAAGATGTTTCTTTCCTCTAGGTCTTTCTTATGAATGGCCATTCTAAAAGGTCAGCATTAAGATCATTTGCATTCGAGAGATTCAAGTTCATCACATTCCAAATTTGGGCAGAGGAATTACAATTAAAAATGTGATTAAGGTTCTCCTCTTCACCACATCTACTACAAGTCCACAAGACCTCTCAATATTTATACCCCTCCTTAGAAGGTCCTTTAAGGGGAGCTTATTGCTTAGAAGGAGAAAAAGGAAGGCTTTAAATTTCGGAGGACACTTTAAGCCCCACACGAAACCCTTCCGATTCACTAAATTACGCCTAGAAGTAGAGTTACCACACTTTCTTATTGGTTGATTTCAAGGTGTATTTACCTTTTGGGTTCAGGCTCCAAATTATATGATTTCTCTTGGCCAAATGGGATGAAAATGGATTTTATTTTATTCCAAATGTTCATCGAAACTAGACTTCGAATTTTGTTCTCTCTCCAAACTCCTCTTTCTTGGTCAATGAAGTCGCTCACAAGAGCATTTTCTTCATCACATTGGATTGGATTTAAGCTCTCTGGCAAGAGTTCATCACCAACCCATTTATCAATCCAAAACTTCATAGAATTACCATTACCAATTTCCCATCTTAATCCACTCTAGAATTAATAATAGGGACTCCGAAGTAAATGTTTGTATCAGCATGGATTGGAATTCTCATAATCCGAGCTAGGATTTTCTAGAATCTACTAGAAATATTCTTTAAAAACTGAATAGTTGACTTATTTAAGTTCGATTACTAACCTTAAGCTCTTGCAAACTCAATTAAAATCTCTTTAATGCTCAATCCAATAGAGATCGTAGGCTGAGAAAAATAAAGCAATCGTCTGCAAATTGCAGATGATGAATTTTCGAGCTCTTTTGCATCTTTGCACCCAATCGGGTTTCCAAGAATTATCATTTCAGTAACCCAGAAAATCAATATACACATCGATACTATGAACCATGAGAATAAACACAATCAACTATTAAAAATATTCTTTACAACGCAATTTTTTTTCTAGGGCTGTAATCATACACCGCTACATAAAAATGATAAATGTTTGGAATCGTAGTTTAGACGTGAGGCCAACTGGCCTAAGCTTGTATTAGCATTATTTGGAAAGGATAGGATGAGAAAGTGTCATTATTTCATAATTATGTTTGAACAAATGATCAATACAGCGCCACCAAAACCAATGGCAACAGATGACGAGAGAACTTTGGTCCAAGGAAAGTAGCCACATCATGGCATAGTCTACACTCTACAGACCCGAAGTACGAGATTAAGAACCTGGAGATGGAGGATAATAGAGCATTAACTCATGACGACGACATTTTCAAAAAAAAGTTAAAAAACAACTTAATTGTCATTATTCAAACATTAAGAAAAGAACTAAACTATAAGTCTATCACGTTTGTAGGGTAATTCATTCTTTTTGGTAATAAAGAGATATATATTAAGAGATCAAACAGCAAGAAACGAAACTAAATTACTATTCTAACATTATAAGAGTTGATCTTGTTCTTCTCGATATCCAAAAAAATAATACTCAAAATACAAAACTAGTGAACAGATTCGCTATCGAAATGGTACCAGTAATCACAGTTGTCCAAACTCTGAAAACTAATAAGCAAAACCACATTAATAACAAAATCATAAAAACCCTTCAATTCCCGGTTCAGCTCTTCATGGCTTGCTTTTCTTTCGCCTTTTGGATCTTCAACACCTTCTTCACAATCTTTTGTTCTTCCACTAAGAAGGCTCGAATTATTCTGTGAAAAATAGAATTTTCAAATACTAGTATCAAAAGAAAAATAAAAATTAAATGGGATTCCAATGTTGAAGATAAATATGGAATGATATGAACACACCTCTCCCGTACGGCACTTCCAGACAGTACCCCACCATAAGCACGATTCACTGTCCTCCTGTTCCTGGATAATCTAGACCTCTTGTATTCAGCAGGTCTCAAGTGAGGAATCTGAGGCAAGGAGTTTACATATCAGAATAGAGGTCGCATGAACAGAGATATTGAGATCGGGTAATGAAAGAGCGTCTTTTTGGAGAACAATGAAACATAAAAAATAACAGATCATAGTTTTGAGTTTTTGTTCCTATTAAAAAGTAAAATGAGACTAAAGAACCAAAAACCAATTGGAAGCCCAAAATGTGAAATGAACGAAACCTTAAATAATAATGATCTTGGCTTTATGCCCATAATGTCCATGACATTTGAATATGGGTGCACAAGCAGATAAACTTGATTGTCTTTGTAAAATATTCAGTATTAAGCCAGCAGACAATGTAAAACATGGACGCAAGTTTCTCTTGCTTATAGCCTAATAGTAGTCATCATCACCATATTTATGTTACCAACATAATACCATATAAATACAAGGGTTGCTTATATAAATATAGCAAGTACTATGTAAGTGAATTCATTCCAAAGCATCAATGCAGATAAGGATTTGTAAATATTTGGTGAAAATTATGAAAGCTGAATAGTTGAGAAATAGTTATGAACAATATCATGTAAATATTCTCAACTTGTCATCATGAAGAGGAAGCACGGTCCAAGTTTAAAGCCTGATGGTGAAATGCAAACAGTATGGATAACGAAAGGCAGATCACAAACTGAAGTGAATCATGTCCTTCCACAAGCACTTGTTAAGGCAGCACCATCACCTAGCTATGTAATAAATGACGAGATCCCATGTACATCATATTTCAAGAGAATGGTTTTGCTTATCAGAAAAGAGGACAAAGAGAACTAACAATGTAAAACACAGATTTCCAAAAAAGCATAAGAAGATACCATGTACATCATATTACAATAGAATGGTTTTACTTATCATAAAGTAGGAAACTTTCCAGAGAAAGGGCAAAGAGAATGGTTTTGCTTATCAATTAACTATAGAACTAACAATGTAAACCACAGATTTCGAAAAATGCATAAGATCATGTCATAGGGAAACAAATTGCCATTTAAAAATTAAATTTTCTAAGCATAAGCAAAGACTAATGATAATTAGAAAATGATCATATGAGAGTCAATAGAAAAGAATGATCAAAGAATATGAGAAATGCATCACATTCATCACAAATAATACAAGTCTTGCTAGTTCAACTGAGTACACTAATTAATTTAATCCTACTGAATGCAACTATGCTAGTTCAACTTATAACGATCACAAATGAAGAATTCTGTGAAGATGGACTCGGAGGTAAAAAAGAAGTTGTTTTATGGTAGGAATTTTGTAGAAAAAAAAACAAGTAGTAAATCATTTAAATACCATTATCCATAAGAAGCAATTGGGGGAACTAGATAGAACAGATTCCATCAATGAACTAAACAGTACCCAACAATTAAGTGACTCTGAAAAGGAATCTGATCTTTGAACCGAGATTAGCATGGGTTAATAGAAAATGACACAAGAAATAAAACCCTAAACTCTAATATCCATCAAAACGTTGGTGGTTAAGGGGTAACTTGATACCTAAGTAAATGGAAAACAACGGATTAAGACACGAAGACGTACCCCTTGGATTCTCTTTCCGGTAACAGGACACTTAGGCCCACTGGCTCTCTTCTTGGTGTTCTGGAAAACGAGCTTCCCACCTGAATTCCAACACAATCAGAGTAAATTAATACACCTCAAAACAAAAATCAAAGAAGAATATCAAAATTCCTTCAAAGGCAACTGATACATTTAGAGATAGCGAAAACAATAAACGCCCACGGAGATCCGTAATCAGAAATCTTTAAACGAATAAAAGAATGTAATGTAAACATAAAAGATCGATAAAAGGAATAGCATAAGCAACCAACCAACCAATGTAAGTGCACTACTTGGAGACCAACGTATACTACGAAAAAGAATGAAGCACAAAAATGGTATGGATAACACAATAAACCGCCAATGGTACCATGAATAGAAGTATAGTCAGATTTCAGCAGAACTATGTGATGAACAGCAAGCAGGTTTTGCGAACTAGGGCTTATAGATAGGATAGAACCACTGGAGCAAATTAGGATTTTTGCATCTTGTTAGAAAGTCTGAGAATCGATTGATACCTGGGGTTTTGACGACCCGTGTTTGGTTGGATTTGGTGGCATAACTATGCCGCTTCCGGTACGTAAGACGCTGAACCATTTTCGAGCTCGAGCCTTAGTATCTCTCGCTTCCTTATGTGAGAGATGAGAATGATTGAAACAGAGGTTATATTTCATCAAAACAAAACCATTAAAAAGGCTTCTTAGTTTTCGAAGCCCTAGATCTGACGGCTGTAACAATTCGTTTTAACGTTCAGGATTAGATACATGTAGGGAAATAAAATTACAATTTCCCCCCTATATCTCAGCTTCCGGATCTCTGCTCACACAAACTCTGCCCACGTTTTATCGCAGTCACACATGGAGAAGTGTGTTGTGAATAGACGTAGGCAGAGTTTTTGTGTGTTAGGAGATCCGGGCTCAGTCAAGTTGACAGTGCCATGGTCATGGGTTGCAGTGTAAACGGAACCGGGTCCAAGTCATAGCAAATGTGGGTCGGAGTAGTGTGTTGTGAATAGACGTAGGCAGAGTTTTTGTGTGTTAGGAGATCCGGGCTCAGTCAAGTTGACAGTCCATGGTCATGGGTTGCAGTGTAAACGGAACCGGGTCTAAGTCATAGCAAATGTGGGTCGGACATGAGGACCCTTTTTTCTCTACAACTAAATTAGTAACGCCTTTTTTACAAGTTCGGATCTAGTCCAGTCGGAATTTGCTCGTCACATGTAGTTATGTGAAGGGGTCCGGTCTCGGCAGATTTGAAACCAACCCGACAAAAAATATTAAAGAACCTGAATGCAACGAAAACTTTATAGGGGTTTGTAATTTTAGACCTAAAATTAAACGGATTAGTTAGAACCAATAATAATTGGGACAATAGATCAATAATCGAAAATCGATCTATCATTACCAGATCTTGGAACTAGAACCAGCCCAAACAGTTTAGGTCCATCAAGTCCTAGTCACAGAGCGTGCCAATAGGGGTGTCAGTTGGATTGGGTTTGGTCCAATCCGATCTAGTCAAATTTGAGTTCATTATAAAGGACTAAGTTCAATCCAATCCAATGAATGTTTTGGACCAATTTGGACCGAGTTAATTCAATGTCTAGATCGTCCAATCTGTTTAATTTCGTTTTGATTTAGATTGGTTTCAACCTAAACCCGGTTCATTGATACATATATTTTTATCTTATATCAATGGACTAGATATTGGCTTAATCCAACCCAATCCAATATAAATTTGTTATAGACGAATCAGGACCAATCCAATCTAATAAATATTTTGGACCACATTGGTCCAATCCAATATGTCTTGTTGGTCCGTTCAATCCATCCAAATTGATTTTGGACTATATGGGGTCCAATCCAAAACCGATTCATTGACACCCTTAGTGCCACCACACACCAACCTCATAGCCCTTTTCAGTCTTGCATTGAAAACATCTCTATACTTAGGGTGAAAATGGATCGGATCAAAGTCCGACCCTATTTCGTCGTATTTTGATATCCCCTATTCGAATATTTGGATCGGGAAAAAAATATTTGAATCGGGCAAAAAAATCAAATCACCCCTATCCAATCCGACATATATGTTACTTTATTTATTTATTTATATAAATATATAACACATATATGTTATTTATTTATTTATAAATATATTATTTATATTGCATTTTTACAAATTTGTAATATTATTTGTTTTTATAAATAAATATTATATATTTATGATGAAAATAGTTGAAAAGATATTTGTATTTTTTTGTTTTTTATTTAAATTGTTACATTTTATTTATCTTTTAATAATTTATTATTTTTTTTAAAAGATAAATTAGATTAGATTAGATCCGACTATCCAACATCCTCATTGGATTCGAATTCAAATCTATGTTTGTAAGATCTAATTGAATATTCAGATCGGATCTGTTGTTCATAATATCGAAGATTTGGATATACTCTAATTCTAATCCGATCTAATCCGTTTGCATCCCTGTCTATACTCAATTTTTTTCATTCATAGTAAAATTATCTCCGATACATAGCTAAGATGTGATGTGAGGTTGGTGTAAGTTAAAAACTGTTATTGCAACCGGTTCCAATAAGTTAAAAACTGTCTAGGATTACAACTTGGGTGGCTTGAGTTAGCATTTTATACATGCTTTGGACTTGGGCCTTCGAGTAGTTTCTCATTTAAAATTTGACAAAAGGCCAACCTAACATGTACATATTGCATCCCTTAAAAAGCACCCAAAAATATGCATTTGGTTAGAAAAATGCTTATAATTTCTGCTTTTATTGGTAGAAAAAAAATTATACATGCTAGAAAGACATGATATAGAAAGAGCCATGATCAATCAAACTACCATGTGAATTTTAATAAATACCACTTGATTTTTTTTAAAGCCCGATCAATACCACATTATTTGTTTTCACTTTTATGATGTTGATAAATACCCCTAGTAACAGGTTTTATAAATGCAAAGCTGGACGAAAACAATCTAATGTGAGTTATTGAACCCCCAACCTAACTCTAGAGATATAAGTTGGGTTGTTCAATTTGAAGAATTTCAACTATATCAGACTCAAGTTAGGGTTTTGGGTGCATTGAATATTTAACAATTTTCAAACCCTACCCAAGTTACACCTCTTTGCCCTACCTAACCCTAATCCAAACTAACTTTTTTCATGTTTGGACAACATTTAGATTGGGTTAGTTTCTTCATTTCATTTTGCTAAATGCTATTATTTTTCAAGCTTAAACATTAGAGGATGATGGTTAGGGATTGCAATTTTCCACATAAAATCGGGGCCCCACCTCGCTCCATTCCAAATAAGGCAGGTTTTTTCTGGTCTTAAATGGGGATGGAAAAAATATTTGTCCCAAATTAGGGACGGGGATTTGCATATAATTCTTCAAACCTGCCCAGAAGCCAAGTGGTAAATTATTAAAATATTTATAGGTTTAGCATTAATTTTTAAAATTCCCATAAATTTCCTCTAATTTCAAAAAAAAAAAAAATTAGGATGCCATAATCATATTTATGAAAACCCCCAAATCCAGATAGTCCTACATTTGAAACACCTCTAAAATTTAATGTATCTTTTTTAGGCAAATTCTTTGGGGTGGGGAAAATTTGGGGATTCCCCATCCCCAACGGTGCCCCACCCCAAACCAACCCTGCCATTGGGGATAAGATGGGGACAAAATAGGGGATTTTGGCTACGGGGCGAGGACGAGGAGGGGGTGCCCAACCCTGACCCCCGCCCCCGTTGCTATTCCTAAGGATAAAATTGCAGTGTTTAAGGGCATCATATTTAATCATAATTTAAAATTGTTTGTGTATTCAGACATACAAAAAGATTTTAAATAACATTTTTACGTACAAATATGAAGGCATATCGATTCATATTTTTCAACATAGACCACCTCATATGATGAGTAAAGAAGGCTGAAAGCCACGAATTAAATTAGTCATTATTTCTTTCTTTTCTTTTAAATATATATATTTTTTCTTTGTGTGTGTGTTAGAGGTCTACACAAGTGGGGTTAGACCATTAGGATATGGATCCATAATTAATGTATAAATACACAAAAAATATATATTATTATGATATATGTAAATAAATATATTACAATTAATAGAGTGAGATACATAGAAATCATACAATTTTATTGATAATGTAAATTAATCAAAAGTGCTAGAACATATTATATATTTATTTTTATAAATTAATACATGCACAAAGTTATTATTATATTATTTTCTATTGAAGTTATAGGTACAAAACATATACAACTATTATATGTGAATTATTACATCAATTATTTTCTATTTTTCTTATTTTAATTTTTAACATTAACAAACAAAGTCAAATAAAATTATTTTTCAAATGTTTGATAAACGATATTTTAATAGTTTTAACTTAAAATATATCACATATATTAAAATTTCTAAGTTATATATCATATGCAAATTCATAAATTTTAATTACTAAAAATAATTATTCCATTAATAATATTTTTATCCATATAAATTTTATGAATAAAAAAATCTTATTCCATCAATTATTTCCTATTTCCCAACTATGTTCATTGCAAGGGTGGGTTGTGAGGAACATTTGTAAACATGTTCCAAACAGATTATGTACACAAAATATCAACTTATCCGGATTCTTATTTTTCAGCAATAATTGGGGAAGTAGGGCTATAATCAGGTTGAATTTGGATCAGATTCAGTTAGCTAAATCCAAAAATCTCAGAATCGATATTAGATTTTGGAACAGATTTAGATTTAGTCCACTCCATTATCATTAAAATTAATGAAAAAAATATTTTTTTAACATATATATATATATATATATATAATTGGACTCAGAATTTTTATTGGATCAGATGGGGTTAAATCTACATCTGATCCGATTACCAGATGCAGGGTTTAACATCAAAATCTGAATTATATATGTCGGGTCGGGTATAAGAGTTTGGAAGTCCATTGACAGCTGTGGGATGTGAGATAATGCGACATAGTTATGCTAATTTATAGTGAGATTTTTACAAAAAAACAAAAAAAAAAAAATAATAAAGTTTCATAAATTTGCAAACAGATATATTTTGAAACATATTACAAAACAGTGAATGGGACGAGAAAATCATTTTATTTGACAAATTGCCCCTTTTATAAATCTACAAATCAAATCAAGAAGGAAGGGCGGAAGTTACTGTTCACTGTCTTCCTCCTCCCGAGCACGAAACAAAAGATGTTCTATTATTGTAACAGATAAGCTATCTTTGTTACATGAGTTCTGTAGGAATTCCCTCTGTTACTAAACCATAGTATCCAAATTTACAATATATTTTAAATATATCCGAATTCGCAAATTCATCAAACTTTATTATTTTTTTTAAAAGCCCATTTTTATATCTAATTTGTAAGGTTTTATTATAGTTAGTTAGTTATAGTCCACCAGGGTTAGATAACGTATATCTATAGCATCAAGGCTTGGCTAGCCTTGGAAAAAAAAAAGGCTTGTCTGGGCTAGCAAGCCAATCTCTGCCTAGCCTATTTAATAAATGGGCCTTAAAATTAGGCCCAGAATTAGCCCATAAAGCCTAAAATGCAACCCAAGCCCGGATCACGGTGGTTCGGGCTCGAGTGAGAATGCGCGTGTTTGGTGGGCTTTGCAGAATACAGAGTAGAGGATGTTGCATTAAGAAATATGGAATAAAGCAAAGAGCGAGTTATTTCCTAAAGGCTGTGTTTGGTTGTAATACGAATTTATTTGCACTGATACAAAACCATGGTAGTGCAAATGATTTCGGTGCAAATTATGATTTGTTTTTAGTTCAAAATTTATCTTATTTTACTTGATTGCAATGCAAATGAAGTAAAATAAGACTTGAAGCAGAAAAAATTAAAATTCAGAACAAAAGTAAACCAGAATTTGCATTTATTTCATTTGCACTCTCATGCATTTGTACTAATGCAAATAAAATTGCACCGCAACCAAACACAGCCAAAAGATCAAAATATTTTTTGTATATTTCTTCTCCTTTCAAAGTATATATGTATGGATCTACAGATGAAAGACATTTTAAAGTGTGAGAATATGATGAAAACGAGTTCAACATGGAAACAGCAAAATTGAGGGTTCTCTCTGAATCTTCCTTCCTACAAAACTAATCTTGTTTAATTTCTTTTGACACCATAATAGTTGGTCTGTTGTTATTGCCGACATGTTCAGTACTCTGGACATTAATTTCATATCAACCTGAGAACAGAACATGGTTTGATCGAATTTGCCTTCTTGATGGTGTTTCTGCAATCTCTTCACAATGCAATTCCCACTTCTCAAAAGGTCTTTGAGCCTCTTCTCCTTCTGTATGGCAAAATGATGATAATATGGTTAGAGCAAGGAGCCCCTTTCTGAATAAAAATGCAGAGTTGGAGAATCAAAACATTCAAATAATTAGAAATCCAAACCTTCTGAAGATTTGTTCGCACATCCATCAGAAGTTGAGAGTCTGCGGAGTTTTGGAGTTCAACTTGGGTCCCCAGAAATCCCTTCAAGATCACATTGGTTTCATCCTTATCAGCACGAAGAAAATCCCAGAAGATTTGCATCGACTTCTCAATGATCTGTGTTAGCATTGTACTTGTGATCACGTCGTTCTCTCTTCTCTTTCTTTTCCCTTTCGTTTTGTTTTTCACAGAATCCTCTGCAGTGGCAGTGCAATGAGTGTCCATATAATCAAACACGTTGACATTCATGTTAATCGAAGATTTTATCTGCTTTTGTTACCTTTTATAACTGGAAGTTGAAGAAGGTTGCGAAGAACACATCGATTCTTGACATAGTTTTGAACCCTGGGCCCTTCGAAAGTCTCATTCTCCAGGAATCTCTGGATGAGCACTTGAAACTGTTGAAATTCTCCGGCGACCTGGTTGTATCGCCGGAGACCATCTGGGTCCGTTTCCTGCAGCTCTTGGGCCTTGTTGTATTGCCAATTGAGGATCTCCCAAGAGAGGCAGACTTGTCCTACATACACCATTTCCAAATCTCTCTGCAGCTCTCTGGCGAACTTCATCGTCGGGTCAGCCTCAACCCTTCCACGTTTAAACAATCTTAAGTTGTGGAACAAAACGGAAGCGATCGCTGGAGTGGACGATCTTCGGCTTGAAATCGATTGAAGTGGATCCTTCAGCTGGAGAAAACCTATAGATAGACACAAAAACATAAATATGAGAATTTAGGGCCTCTATCTATACTATAGCAACTTATTAAAACTAAATAATTGATTTTTCTCTTCAAACCTTAAACCTGCCTGACCCATTTGTTTAACCCGGAAACCGGGCTGGTTTAATTCAGAACAGTAGTCATTCTCACCCGTCACCTCAAAGCCTTATCCCTGAATCTGAATGCATGATTTAACAGTTGGGCACCAAAAATCATTTTGAATTTTTGATTGGATTAGTCTAGTAGTTGTGCAACATTATGTACCTAACTTTTACTTTTCTTGTCTTTTATATAATTAAAAGCAAAATCTGATTGACAAAAGATTTCTAACCCAATCAAGTGGAGCAAAATGCTTTGAAACATTTCTAGCCTTCATATATTTTTGGGGAGAGGACAAATGGAAACTAAGAATTGCTGCTTATAGATAGAGACTCATAGTGGGCAACCCACCAAAAGAAAAAGTTCCACGTGGAAAGTGGTCTAAAAGGACAAAACAAAGGAGAAAAACAAGAGTAGTAGTCAATAATACTTCCAAGAAAAACAACTGGCCACCCCTATCCATATCGGAAAACAAAAATAATAAAAAACCAACACATCCATGTGAATTTTTGTATCTTTGTTATCTCCAGCTCTCTAGTCTTTCTTTTACACACTGTAAAGTGTTAATAAAAGGAGTGAGACTATTAGCGCAATAAGCCAATTAATTAAAGTGTTGGTAGTCGGTATCTCATTTTGTCACATACTTACAAGTCTAACAAAAATAGCCTACTCGTGAGTCGTGACGGGGGAAGTTACTGTGTCTAATATTTGTATTACAGGTAGCCTAGGCTTGAGTTGGGAATTGGGATGTTCATACGTTCTGGTATCATATGTTATCTGGGCCCACATTGCTTAGTGCCCGTTTGGAGGGTTAGGCTGAACAATAGTAAGCTGCTTCAGCTGTTTTGAGGCACTCTACAGGCGTAAAATGACTAATTGGCTCTTCAGATTTTTCACCATACATAACTTAAGGAACGTCTGTGTAGGCCCACCTTGAAAAGTCAGAACCCATTGTGTTTCAGTTCTGAGTTTACATCTGCGCCCCACAGCAGCACATCTCAGCGTGCATTAAGAATACCTCTCCTACTTGCCACTATTGGGAGATGTTCCCAATACACGGTTGGTTGGAATGTGCTGTGGGGCGCCCTGTGATGTGAATTCTTCAGTTCAGCCCTCCCAAACGGGCACTTAATGAAGCTTTGTGTGTACTCATTCGAAAGGGCTGCACCGCGGCTTCTTATTCTTTGAGGTGGGTCCCACATAGACATTACGTTGGGTTGGGAATGGGAAGCATCTCAGATTTTATTTTTTCACTGAACTTTGTGGTTGAATGGGTTGGGATTTGCTCTCACCAAGCGCACCTCACACCGATTATACAGCTACATTCCACCTGGTAGTAAACATGTCGGCCATAAATAATAAATATAAGTACCGGAAATACTTCCGATGTGCGGTAAGGCATGCTCTGTGAGGAACAGATCGGTGTAAGGCAGCTGAACAAGCTTCGCTGAGTCTTTAACTGACCCTCCCAAACGAGCCCTAACCCTTAATGTACCTTCATCCTAACCCCATAGATTTCGTGATCACCAAGCCCATGATCGAAATTCGAAACGGACAAAAGGAATCCCCAAATTCCCTTAATAAGTGCAACGACTCTTGGACCAGATGGTCCAAACTCCAGATGGGCCCATAGATACGTCGCACTATGCAACATTACAAAAAAGGGATTTCTCTTTCGCTCCTAAAAATGGAGGGAATGCTCCTCTCGACAGTGGATTTTACAGTCACGTCATCAAACTTTATTTAGGATTCTGTCCAACATCGGCGACGTGGCTTTTCATCCACCGTCAAAAGAGCGTTCTCTCCTCTTTTTGAAAGGTGCTCTGATCAGAGAGAAGATGATTTGGCACTATTCCATCAACGATAAATAGAGCTAAGAAATAAAAAAACAAAAAAAAATTTGTAAAAAAGCAGAGCTCCGTTAATATCGAGTTTTGAAGCTTACCAATTCCATACATCTTCTGATAATTCAAGATATCGAATTTTCGCATTCTTTCCCTGTAACTCTTGTAGAATCTGTGTAGCTCGTCCATTCTATCCTCGTGCAGATACTTCTCATCAATCTTCCAGGGTTTCAGATCTTCCATCATCTTCGGGGATTCATCTTCTTCTAAGATGGTGGGAAGTCCTGTAGCTCTAACCTTTCTCAGTTCCATCCTCAGCTGTTCTATCAAATCCTGATGTTCCCACAGAATCTCCAACCTGTTTGTATCATCTAATTCTGGTACTGATGAATCCTGCAAATTCGGTTGTTCAGATCTTTCTAAACCATCCATTGTCTCTTTTTCTTGGCTACCGTAAATGACTTCTGGGTCTGGGATATCTTCGTCGTCGCTGAAATCTTCATCTGACAGAACTTCTGCGTGTACCAGATTGCTTGATTTTTGAAAACTGGGTTCTTCAGAATTTCGAATCTTTTCTCTTAGTTCAATCTCATTGTCAATACTATTGCTTATCTGTTTGATAGGTTTCCAAACAGAGAATGACCCATCGCTGATTTCGATGGCTCTGTCCAGGAAGCTTGAATTCTGCAGATGTGGCTCTTCGTAACCTTGTGTTTCTTCTGCTAATTTTACCTTCTCTCCATCAAAATATATCTGAGTTCCAGTATCTAATCCTTCTCCGAAATCTCTCTCCGACAAGAATTCATCACTATTGGAATCAAAAGCATGATCCTTCAGAGAAAATACATCGCTTAAACTAATCGATTCTGGTTCAGAATCTAAAGCCACAAAGTCTTTTTCGAATAGAAACTGAACTTCATAAGAGATATCCTCCTTGCCGGGTAAATCAGTTTCTGGACTAACTTGCTCTTCCTTTTCAGCTACCTGAGCTTCTGTGAGTGGTTCAGATTTTGTTTTTCCTGATTCTTCTTTGCTGAGATCAACAGGGCTGTAATTTCCTACTGATTCTTCGTAAACAACTTGAGCTTTTGAATAGAGTTGTTGAATCTTCTCCGATAAGAATCCACCTTGGATAATCTCATTATCGCTGAAAGAGTCATAATTTGAATCTGCATATAAATCTTTGACAGCGAAGCTCACAACCTCCGGCTCTTCAACGAAGCCACAGAAATCCTTCCCAGAAGAGAATTGATATTTACTAGTGTTCACCGTGGGGGCCTTACTGGGGTTAATGGAATCTTCGGATTCTCTGTAACCTGTAGGAGTGTCTTCAGAGGTATGAAATTGAAATTTGAAACAGAATTTCGGTTCCTCTTCCTGAGGAAACCCATCATCATGATCTGAATCCTCAAAGATGGTAATTTCAGATTCTCTTTCAGGCTCAAGGCAACTTGAAGCAACAATTGGACCATCTTCCTGAGGAAGGATAGCCTCTCTATCTGTAACACCAACGGTGGTGCAACTTTTGTCATGGCTCTCAGAAGTATTATTTGTTTTAAATCTGCAAGAAGAAAATTAATGAAATAATAAGAACCCATCGCAATTCAACATGAATGAACTGAACAGTGAAAACTAAACTGACCCACGAATTATCAAACATGTAATTCTGCTTACCTAAAGATGTAAATACTGATGAGGCCGATCAGATAAAACACGTAGCCAGTGGCAGAGAACCAGAAAGAAGTAACAAAAAGGAACATTTTTGTGAAGAGGAACTCATTAACAGATCTTTTGTTGAACAAATCGAAGTGGGTAGTGGAAATGAACATCTTTGGTGTTCCCATCAATTCAATCCACCTCCCTGCTACTTGGGTTTGAAGAAAGAACAGAATAACCGTTCTGGAAAACTCTTCATGTTTCCATTGAATTATGTCAAAAGATAAGAGAATGAGGAAATATGGACTTCCTACCTATAAAAAAGAAAAACGAAACTGCAGGGAAATACTCGAGGATTTGTGAGAAAATCTGGTAGAAAGAGGTTGAAATCTAACCTAATCAGCGAGACTGGAGGGAGAGATTGAGCTACTTTCAAGGGGAGAAAGGAACCTGCGAGCAACTTTAGCTCTTGCTGGTCATTTAGTTGCTTAGAGTTCTCAGGTTCTGTTACAGTTAGCTCGCTATATAAACGTTCAAAAGAAGATATATCAGTTGAGGAGTCCCTGTGTACCTCCCACACGTTTTCACGAAGAGAAATTATTTAACTGTCAAAGTCAAGTTAAATTACAAAATTAAGCAACATATGATGTTTATTAGAACTCTCTCTCTCTCTCTCTCTCCGACTCGGTCTCCCTCCTCCAGGGGGAAATTGTTTATCAAGCGTTCATGACTGGGTGGATTCGATTTTAAGGCACACAAGAAGGCAAGAGGGCCATAGTACGCTGTAATTAATAATGTCATGCTCCAAATGAACTAACCATTCAATTAATAGAATGGGTCAAAGGGGTCGCAACTCGCATGGGGGCTTCATTTAGCATCTGTCTGTGTGTGTCTGTACATGACGTACATGCGTACGTACGAGGTAACAGTATTTAAAAATTATTGAAACATCCGAGAATGTAAACATACACGTTAACAGAAATACAGTTAATTCATTGTGCATTGGTTAACAGTCTCCTACATCTGGAGGATTATATATTCTATAATGAATGAAAGGGAAATGTATAATGCATCAACAAAATGCATAGGTGGAAATATCGATTCACTCCCCCTCGCTCTCCCTTTTTGTTGTCTTGTGTGTGTGTGAAGATTTATTATGTTTCTCTCCGTTGGTGTTTATTGAAAAAAATGTCATACATGCATTGGTATTTATTGTATATAAAATTACTGTTTGGTTTTACAGTTTATTAAATAAATATTAGAAAATTGAAACGTTTTGATTTAGGAAAACGTTAGCTTCCAATAACTAGTCATTTCTTGAAATGAAATGCTGATGTAGTGTATTTTATTTGAGATGGAAAACTACTTTATGAGGTGTTACCTGAAAAACCCATAAAACATCCAACCAAATAGAAAAAAAGCAAAAAACGTTTAAAGTAGCATTTTTTAGATAAACGTTTATCTAAAAAAACACCTCTAAGGAAACACCCATAGAACCAAACATATGCTTCGCCACTTAGGTGATGGCTGGCATCGAAGCCAATTTCCCATAAATTGGTGCCACATCAGATCCATATAAGCATTTGAAGAATCAGTAATTTTTTTTTTCTGTTTGGTTGGCTGATTATGCTATTTTCTAGAAAATCAGCAAAAAATTGATCCCTGAAATCAGTATGGGAAGAGGGATTGTCACTCTAGAAAATCAATACCGAACAATCTCAAAAGTGATTTCTAAAAAATCAGCTGATGGAGAAAATGATACCAAATAACAAAAAAAAAAAGATTTTTGAAAAATCACTAATTTCAATAATCATTACCACCGGTTTAAAAAAAAAATCAGGTGTGAGAAATCAGCAAACATCACTTTAATGAAGAACACTAACAGAAATATTCTTGTATATATATATATAGGTAGGAAAATGTCATTATACTCACATTTGAATTTGAAGAATGTTGAAACGAAAATTGATGTTTGGATGCTGATTTAGGCCTAGAGAATTGCTTTGAATTTAATCAAACAGTTGGTGTGGTTTAATGTAATTAAAATTAGGTGGTAATATAACTTTCAGGTGATGCAAGAGGGAGTTTGGTTTAAATCACAAGTCGTCAATTCGACCCATTGATGTGTGCTTGGTTTAGCTGTGAATTGGGGAATGTTTGAAAGCTGGCTCTGCGGACAGTGAAATTATATTAATTAATTAATGATATTAAATTAAAATCATCAGCTAGCCAGCTAACGTATAATATTGGTTGGCTTTTCCTTTAATATTTAGCTATATATATATATATTGTGTATTAATGGATCGTTAATTAATTTAATTTCTTTGTCATGTGGATGTGGGTGGTGAATCTGAATCCTGGCCTATATAATGAGGGAACCCGTGAGCTCCTGCATGCACTCTAGGAGGAATTAATAAGTTCCCCATTTTCGTCTCTGGTAGGTAGGGTTGTACTTGTATTATTATTTATTAGTAAATAGATCTGTTCATGGGCTGGGTAGCCCGGTGGCCCGGCCCACACCTCGGTTGGGGTTGGTCATATAATTAGGCCGGCAGGCCTGACCTCGGGCCTAACATAGTAAGTTTGGCTGTGTTTTGGACGGGCTTGGGATTTGTCAAAAAAGTCCGACTCGAGTTTGGCCCGACCCAATTCAATATTATATATTTTATAAAACACATAATGTGTATTTTATATATTATATATATAAATAATATAATATTTATTGAAAAAAATATATATATATATATTTATAATTTAATATATACATTTTTTATTTTTTTCTTTATAATTTCTCTCTCTCTCTCTCTCTCTATTTAGCCACTTCAGCAGTAGTAACAGCATGGGCTAAATTTCAGGTTTGGGCCCAAATCTAGGCTTCGGGCTTTTTATGATAATCAGGCTTGAACTCGGGCCTTAGAAAAATCTATTAATACAAAGTGAAAGTCCAACCCGACTATAAACAGGTCTGTTAGTAAGGAAAATCCAATTTAGAATTTGAATGATTAATAGTATTTAGGTGCTTTCTTTTTCTGCCGAAAATGGACGTTTATGGCCACTTGCAGGAGTCAGTCGTGGCCGGATGGGTTTTTGACACATAAACGCTCATTGTATTTATTTGTTTCAATTAATTAAGCTTGTTTAATTTGATACATTAATTGCCCAGAACCAGTTATCTAGAGAAGAAGATAACCGTTGGTTTGGAGTAAGGCCAATACAAAGAAAAAAAGGAGCTTCCATATAAAGATACAACCTGGATTTAAGGGTCGCGTGCGCGCATACTCTAATTCCGACTTCATCAGATCAGAAGATAGCAAAGTTATTGACGTCAACATACATACACTCTTTTCTGGACTCATGTGCACCTTTAATTACAGAATAGTAATACTTCGCCTTCATTTAGTGGAAACAGGTTTTTTTGGGGTGGCAAATGGGTGGATTGGGTTGGGTGTGGGTTGAATATCAACTCACCTATATTAACCCATTGCCATTATTTATTTGGTATTAGTGGGTCACAACCCATCTTGACTCTGACCCACCCTGATTCATTAATCGAATGCAAATATTAAGAAAATATAAATATTATAACAAATACAATTATAAATATTAGAAAATTAGAGATAAATATAAAAAATACAAAGAAATAATAAAAACACAAAATTTGACATAAATTTGCAAAAAAAAAAAAACAAAAAAGTAGAAATTGTATAAAATACATAAATTGATAAAAATTAAAAATAAATATATATTTCAACTGAGAAATTATAAGAGAAAAAGATAAAAAACAAGGATTGCGTAAAACACCTAAAATCATAAAATTTTCAAAATTATATATTTCAACAAAAATAATAAATTACAGAAAAAAAATTAAAATATAAGAAAATCAAAACGACCATATACTTCAGCAGCTCAGCCAATACTAAAAAATATAGAAAATGGTGCAGTTTTAGTAAATATAATGAAAAATGTAAAAATTGCAAAAAACAAAAAAAAATCGCCTTTCCTCTGGTTCCTGTAACCAGCGGCCATGCCATCCTAGATCTGGCCCAATGCTAGAATAACTGAATAAGAGGAGGGGAGAAGGAAGAGTTAGAAGACCTAGTTGGTGGTACCGGTGGTGGCGATAAAGAGAGTAAGAAGAAGAGGGAAAGTAGATCTGAAATCTAGATCGGTGGTATTGGCCAGCGGTGGCGGTAAGAATAATAACACGAAGAGGGGAGGAGGAGGAAGGGTAGAATAATAGATTTGAAACTGATATCTGATACCAGCGGCGGCAATGACAAGATTAGTGATATTGACGGCAGCAAAATTGGTGGTACCGGTCACTGCAGTCATCGAAAGTTCCTCAAAAACTTCCAGCTTCTTTTTTTTTAACACTTGCATCAAAACTTAAAAGCTAGTTTGGTAGATGACTAGTGTTAACTTCGACTTATGGGTACTCTCAACCCAATCCCACCTTGATCCTTTTTCCTTAACCCAAATGGGTCACTGGATCCATAATGACCTTTTACTAAAGTAGGTGGATCGGGTTGGGGTCAAAATTGCCACCCTTAGGCTTAATTGGTACCAAGCACGCCTAGCTTAGATTTAATAATTAATCATCAGACTAATTGGCGTTTTGATTTTTGAATTCTCAAATTTATAGCCTGAACCTGAACCTGGGGTTGGGATAGGATGTTAAAAGCAGATGATTGAACCTTAATGCTAATAGATATGTCAATGGATCGGGTTAAATAGTAAGTTAGGCTTTTGATTCTTTTAACTCTAGCCTTGTTCGGGTTTGGCTAATCCATCTGTCCGATACCACACCAATTAGTCAATTGGCATCTTGTATTATCATAATTAGTTATCACTTTTAATTTCATATAAATCTTAAAGCTTGGTTATGTTTATTTTGATTTTTTTACTAAATTCTAATTCAAAATTAATGAGTTTTTCTTTTAAGCTTTCAAAATGCATGATAATAAATATAATTGAAAGGCTATGGATCGAATTAAGGAAGAAACATTAGAGGCGTCAGGTTATTGACAGGACAAACCTGCACCGAGCCCAACCCCCCCCCCATTCACGTCTAAGAAAAATGATGGTTATACAACCCAAGCCCGGCCCATCATCCATTCATCATTGAAGAAAAAAAAGAAGACAAAGACAAGCCATCTTGCTAATCCTAGCCCACTACCAATGACAATACGCGACAAAGGTCATGACTCACTATTTCACCATTTAACATGACTTCCAATATTTGATGATTTTATTTGGATTCTGGAGTCCACCCCAACCTGACTTGACGCCTAGCGAGGGATTCTGATTCTTTCCTTTGTGTGAACCCACAGCTTCTAAACATTCTAAACAACGCAGAAATCTACAAAACTAAAAAAATTAAAATGTTACCGATCCCAAACACCCTCTTGGTCAGTTTTGTCTTACAAACGGCCTTCAAAACTCGACAGTCCAAACTCCAAAGAAATGACTTATTGCAGAAGTGGGTAATCGTTCA